GTTTCTCCAAATTTCACAGAATCATCTTAAATCATATATAAGACCTGTACCGGGCGCCGGTACCAAAATACGGGCCCGATACCATCATGTTCTAATCAAGTTTCATTTCAAAATCTTTTAAACAACTTCCAGAAAACAATTTTCTTTAAAAATTCATTTCTCGAGCTTGGGACCTCGGAATTTAATTCCGGGCATACGCCCAAGTCCCATATTTTCCTACGGACCCTCCGGGACCGTCAATTCATGGGTCCGGGTCCATTTACCAAAAATGCTGACCGAAGTCAACTTAAATGCATTTTTAAGTCAAAATTTCAGTATTTCACAGATTTTTCACATAACAGCTTTCCGGCTACACGCTCGGACTGCGCACACAAATTGAGGTGAAGATAAAAGAGGTTTTTAAGGCCTCGGAAACACAAAATTAAATTTAAAAGCAAGTGATGACCTTTTGGGTCATCATATTTCCATACCTTTTTTCTTGGAGGATTATTTTACTTGTCTTATCTTCAATAGTACAGCCTGTTTTCTTGAACTTTACTTCATACCCTAAATCACATAGCTGACTTATACTCAGAAGATTATAGTTGAGTCCATCTACAAGATAAACTTCAGTAATATCATAGTTGTTATTGAATGGAACTGTGCTAGTGCCGAATATCTTCCCTTTTGAGTCATCACCAAATTTAACACTTCCTCCATTTATCTTCGTAACTTCTTTGAACAGGTTTTTGTCACCCGTCATATGACTGGAACACGCACTATCTAAGTACCATTTCCTTTGCGGCTCTTTCTGTGGTGTTCCTGCAAAACATAATTATCACTTTCTTTTAGGTACCCAAGCTTTCTTGGGTCCTTGTTGGTTAGTATTAATAAGCTCAGGGTTGTTTTTGGGTTTTCAAATCCACCCTGAAATATTAGATTTACGAAATCGACAAAAGAAATATTTATGTCCACTTTTATTATAGTAGTGACACATAGGGGCTGATCCATTCTTGGATCTTCCATTTGTGTTAGTACTAGTGGACTCTGTTCTAGCTGGTCCTTTTCCAGTTGACTTGTAAGTCGCCTTGTTCGACTTGACAAAACTATGACTGGTGGGTTTGCGCATGCCATTGAGTTGTATTTGCAATTCCTGAAATTCATCTTGAAGTACCTCCTTTTCAATTTCACATACTTCAAGCTTGAGTTCCCAGTCTTTTTTTCTCTGTTGAGTCTCTTTAGTTCATTCATCATTTTTTGAGACTCTTTTAGAGTAAGGTCAATAATGTCCTGTAATTCATTACATCTTTCACAATTGTAAGATCTTATCTCACTTGTTTCACCTCGTGCCATGAAAAAATTCTCATTATCATCTTTGCATTGGTCGTCTGATGCATCCTCATCTGTCCAGCAACCTGAGAGTTTGTTCAATGTCGTTTTCCATGATTGTCATGAAGCATAGATTTGCTATCTCTTCGTGTTCTGAACCGTCTTCATCACTCCAGCTTCCAAATGATTTGTTCTTGTTGAATCCCCTGGAAATATTTCTTTTAAGATTTGGTCATCCAGCTTGAACATGCCCATATCTTCCACACTCATAGCATTTTCCATCATTCTTGTCTTGTTCATTATATTGCCTAGTTCGCCTGGGTAGTATCCTACCTCTTCTTGTGTTTCTGTATCTCCTCATTAGACCATCCATGTTCCTTGATACCATGGTAATCTCTCCTTCAAGAGCTTCAGGGTCGTCATCAATATCATTATCTGTCCTTTCAGTTGTAGCTTTGAAGGCGACTGTTTTCTTCTTTTCCTCTTGGCTTGTTTTCTTGAGGTGAGTTTTCTCGAATGCTATAAGATCTCCTCGAAGCTCATCATAAGAAAGTTTATTTAGATCTTATGATTCAAGTGCAACTACTTTTGTCTATCAAGTGGTAGGTAGACTCCTCAGAATTTTTCGAACTTGATCACCACTTGAGTATGGTTTACCAAAAGCTTCTAGATCGCAAATGATTTTGCTGAACCTCGCAAACATTTCTTCAATGAATTCTCCTTCTTTCATATGGAAAAGTTCATCATCATGAACCAACATGTTGATGTGGGTCTCTTTCACTTTACTGGTTCCTTCATAAGTAACTTCCAGTTTATCCCACATTTCTTTGGCTGTAATCACAACTAGAGATTTTCTCATATTCCTCTCCACTTATAGCATTATAGAGTAAGTTTCTTGCTTTAGCAATGACTTGAACAACTACCAATTGCTCGTCTGTGTATTCATCTATATCTTGTGGATCAGTAGGTGGTTGAGCAGTTGTTGGTAGTGGATAGTTCCCTTTTTGATAACTCGGCAAACTTTGATGTCATAGGACTTCGCATATATTTCCATACGCACTTTCCAGTAAGAAAAATATTATCCATTGAAATACGGTGGCCTAACTTGCGATGTTCCTTCTTGAAAGAGTGCACCAACAATAACTTGATTTGCCATGATCTTTCCTCACAAGCTGTTAAGCAAAAAGTGTGAGACTAGCTCTGATACCAATTGAAAGTACAAGAGGAGGGGGCGAAATGCTTATTTTAAAAAATCTTATAAGTAGTTGACTAGTTTACCAATTAGTCGACTAGAAATAAGAATAGGATATAGTAAATGCAGAAATAAAGTGCAGGAAAGAAAGACACCAGAATTTTTATACTGGTTCGGATTCAATGTGAATCCTAGTCTAGTCCCCTTGGGTTGCAAGGGTGTTCTCTTTCAGTGATCGATATTTCTTGAGTACAGAATGAATGGTGTAGCTTTACACCAACAGCTTAGTCTCTATGTCTCTTTTATTTTCTTGATACAATGCCTCACCAGTGTTTATCTCTTTTTCTTCTCTCACTAATTACACAGCAGATCTAAAGGAACTACAATGCTTGTTTGGAGTAGAACCAAAAGAGGGAAGATGTTCCGTTCAAAGTATATCCTTTGCACGTCCAGAACATCTGTATATATACTTTCCATGAGGCCTTTAAGAATCTTGAGAGATTGCAAACCCAAGGGAGTTGATCCTTCAAAGGAATCATAAATTGGTTCTTTCCAAGAATAAAGTCAAGTTCCCGTTGATCTTCCTTGATTTATTATCTTGACGAGCTTTCCATCGGCTGGGCATCTCTGTGTTACTTGAGTCATATCCGCTGGATCCCTTGATTTTTCGGCTGCAGTGCGCGTTTCCCTTTGATTTTGGGGCCTTCCAGTAATAGCTTCAGTCAATCTATGATTGATTATTCTTGCTGGATCTCCGCTATATCTTCCTCTTTCATCGCTGATTCTTTTCCTTGTTAGCTTCCGTCAATCACTGATTGACTATTCTTGCCCGATCTCCGTTGCTTCTTCCTTTTGTGTTGCTGATCATTGATTCTTTTCCTTGATCTATTCCAGACTGATATTGCTTCTTGAGTTCCTTTAATATATTCCTTGAGACCCTATACCAAATGTAATATATTATTTTTCATCATTAAAACTTATAATTAGCACACTTACCCCTTTAAAAATAAACATTATTAATCATAATACAAGATTCTTGCTTGATTTTCCGGTTTTTTTTATAAAGAAGTCCCATTGACAACCTTTAGCTGTCTTCCAATTAAATTAACAAGGAATAATACAGAGCAGTCCCATTGACATCCTATATAGCTGTCTTGGCTTATATGGAGTTTATTTAAGAAACAAATGAAAACAAAAATTCGTAAGTTGGATGATTATTTGAAAAATTCGAAAGTTTAGTAGGTGAAGTGGCATATCACATCATCTTTCCGGAACCAGAAAGTTTATTCTCTGACTGAAATGACTTTCTTGGATAATTAGATTAAGTTGAATGATTTTATTGTTACCAAAAATTCAAAAGTTACTTTACTCAGTAGTTTCTATAACTTAAATTACCATTTGAATAATTAACTCGTATTTGTATTCAACAAAAATCTTCTTGCATGACAAAAAGCAATAAACCAACAGCCACTTCATTACTTTAATATCTTACAGTAATAAAATATGTGTAGTATTGGTTTCTTGGCCTTTTGGTTAAAATCAAGTGTAGTATCTGTTCTTTCACAATTATAATTATTAAGTACTAATATAAAGAGAAAAATTCTCATAAAATTATAATTTGCATGTTTGGTAAACGAAAACAATCATCAATACACTCATGAATTGATTAACCTCATCATGAAGCATACTGTTAGAATAAATTGCGGGGTGGGAACAGTAAGTGTATACCTATTAACGCAACGGAAGAATTATTGAATATACCATCGAAAAAAATGGCCCAACGTTAAACTTCGATTCACTAGGAAACGGAGTAACTAACTATTAACAACAAATTATGCATAATTTTTTTTAAAAAAAATTCAAATTTTAAAAAATAATAATTATTACCTTATCTTTTATCTCTTTTCATCAGGTCTGGTCAGCTTGGGTCAGCCCACTTAGAGTGACCCACGACCCAATTCCAACACATACACTCCATGTGAGCTCCCTACTTCACGTTTTATTTTCATGTCTTTCTGTTACTATTAATTCACTAATTATTGATTTTTTCCAAGAGTGCTATTAACTTAGATTATCTAATTTTTTATGGCTGTAGTTACTGCTTCTCTTTTCAAATCTGCTATATATGATTATGTTTATCTTGAGCCGAGGGTCTATCAGAAATAACCTATTTATTTTGACAAGGTAGGGGTAAGATCTACGTACACACTACCTTCCCAAGACCGCACTTTATGAGATTGAACTGGGTATGTTATTGTTGGTCTAAGTTGGCATCTTAATGGTTATGTCGATGCTTTTGAGCTTTTGTTAACGTCTTGCATATATGGCTTTTATAACGTTTTTGGGATTGAGGCGTAGTTTATATCGTTATTATTGTTGTGATAAAGGTGTAGGATTTATGCATTTTGCAAATGTCGATATTTGTTTTGTTTCTGGAATAAATTAAGTTAAGCTAAAGTTCCATTTTAGAAGCAAAAACAGCACTAAATCTGTTACACAGTTAGGAAAGGATCTGCATTCTTTTATTTTGCCAAACAAGTAGTAACACATATTTACAGTAGACTGTGACAAACTTCTCATTTTCAAACATAAATTGACTAAAGGTTATTATTATTGGCAAAAAATCAAATGTAGCGAAACCTTAATCCAGATCCTTGGAACTTTTGTTCAATGATGTGATCTAGTTTCTCAATCATCTTAGTTGTGAAGTAATTCTTCCAATCTCCAACTTCCCCTCGTCGAAAGAACACTTTATTTTCCACTCCAGTCGACAATTTCTCATTCTTGTTCACCTCCAAGTTGCTCAAATTCTCAAAGCTACACATTTTTAAGATTTCATCCACCACTCCACATTTTTCTTCATCTATAGAGAATGGACATTCCAAGAATTTAGCTAATCGTTTCAGCTGAATCTCGGGGTTCTCTTTAATTTCTTCATACATCAAGAAAAGTACTCTTTTAGGATTTTCTAAACTTTTTTTCCAGTAATCTAACACGTGATCCCAAAACGGACCAAAAAGGCTCACTCCCTTACAAAAAAGATCAAACACTTCTTCAATCGAACTAGTATCTATGTAATGAAGTCTTAAAGTGTTTGTGAAATGCCAAAAAGAAATAAAAGTGTCCCTTGGATTCCTACACAAGTAAATAAGCTTGCTTTCTGAATCTTGGACAGAATTTGGCAATGAAGCATACACCAGATGACTCGATAACAACCTAGGTGAGGTGAAGGATGAGAAATCAGGGACTTTTCCATCAAGATAGAGTTTAAGTTCCAAGAATGGAACAAGATCGTGAGGGTTCTTGACAAGTAAAGGATGATCTTGTCCTGAAAAAGGATATTCCTTTCGGTTTACTAGAGCAAACACGAGCGCTTTTAACCAGGTAGTTCCTGATTTAGGAGTAGTAACAAGAATGATATCACTATCTTGAGCTTGAAAATGTTGCTGAAATGCAAGCACACCTTGGAGTGTCGTTGCTCGGCCTATCCAGAAACCTTGGTAGTTATAGATATGCGATGAAATCCATCCTCTTTCTTTGGGTAGGGTTAAGAGCAATTTCTTGCACTCTTCACTTAGTTCATCCTCCTGTAAATATTTGGGAGGAATTGGTTGAGAGGTTTGAGATTCTGACATTGTTATGTATTGTGTTTCTTTTAATTGTAGGATGAAGATTTACTCATCAGGATATATATATATAAGGGAAGCCTTGGCGTAACTGATAAAGTGGTTGTCATGTGATCAGGAGGTCACGGGTTCGAGCCGTAGCAACAGCCTCTCGCAAAAATGTAGGATAAGGCTACGTACATTGACCCCTGTGGTCGGACCCTTCTCCGAACCCTGCACATAGCGAGAGCTTATGTAAGAAGATCGTGACTCCATCAAGAAATCCACTAAAATTGTTAAACTTTTGTAGGTACACTGACCCCTTTAAAAATAAACATTAATCATAATACAAGATTCTTGCTTGATTTTCCGGTTTTTATAAAAAAGTCCCTTTGACAAAAATCAATAAACCAACAGCCACTTCATTAGTTTAATATCTTACAGTAATAAAACATATGTAGTTGGACAGATGCATGCTTTACATGAGTATCATAATTCAGAGCGTCTATATTATTGTTTTCTCGACCTTTTGGTTAAGATCAAGTATAGTATCTGTTCTTTCACAACTGTAATTATTAAGTACTAATATAAAAGAGGAGAAAATTCTCGTAAATTATATAATTTGCAAGTTTGGTAAACGAAAACGATCATCAATATACACGTGAATTGATTCAACTCATCATGAGGCATACTGCTAGAACAAATTACTGGGGCGACAACAACAATTGTGTACCTATTAACGCAACAAAAGAAATGTTGAACTCACCATCGGAAAAAACGGCCCCACGTCAAACTTCGATTCACTAGAAAACGGAGTTTGATCCACGAACTAAATGTCTCTCTTTATGTGCTTATTGAGATGCATCAATTAGAAGAAGAGATGGTACTAGTTTTTTCTTTGTGAAAGAATGAAAGTGGAGTTATATGTGAAAAACGGATTGCAGCCTCTATTTACAGTTCTATGTAGAGAGGTAGTTTTCCTTTTTGTATCTAATAACTTCTCTACATTAGCCTAAGTACGGCTATTCGACACGAGTGCAGATATACTTTTTATTTTTAAATTTCTATTGCTACTTGTTGTTTCATTGGCTTCGATTATTTAATTTTTGGTTGTGGTTACTACTTCTCTTTTCAAATCTGCTATGATAACGTACATCACAATAATTTTATAAAAACATCTGCATTCTTTTATTTTGCCAAACAAGTAATACACTTTTACAGTATAACGTGACAAACTTATCACTTTCAAACATAAATTGACTAGAGGTTATTATTATTGGCAAAAACATAATGCCTAATTAAATGTAGCGGAACTTTAATCCAGATCCTTGAATTTTTTGTTCAATGATATGATCTAGTTTCTCAACCATCTCAGTCGTGAAGTAATTCTTCCAATCTCCAACTTCCCCTCGTCGAAAGAACACTTTATTTTCCACTCCAGTTGACAATTTCTCATTCTTGTTCACCTCCAAGTTGCTCAAATTCTCAAAGCTACACAATTTTACGATTTCATCCACCACTCCTGATGTTTCTTCCTCTGTAGAGAATGGACATTCCAAGAATTCAGCTAAGCGTTTCAGCTGAATCTCGGGTTTCTCTTTAATTTGTTCATACATCAAGAAAAGTACTCTTGTATGATTTTTTAAACTTTCTTTCCAGTAATCTAACACGTGATCCCAAAACGGACCCATATGGCTCACCCCTTTACAGAAAAGATCAAATATTTCTTCAACAGAATTGGTTTCTATATAACTAAGTCCTAACCTGTTTGGGAAATGATACATAGAAACAAAAGTGTCCCTAGGATTCCTACACAGGTAAATTAGCTTGCTTTTCGAATCTTGGATAGATTTTGGTAATGATGCATATGGCATATGAGTTGACAACAACCTAGGTGAGGTAAAGGATGATAAATCAGGGACTTTTCCATCAAAATAAAGCCTAAGTTCCAAGAATGGAACAAGATCATGAGGGTTCTTGAAAAGTAAAGGATGATGTTGTCCTGAAACAGGATAGTTCATTCGGTTCACTAGAGCGAACACGAGCGCTTTTAACCAGGTAGTTCCTGATTTAGGAGTGGTAACAAGAATGATATCACTATCTTGAGCTTGAAAATGTTGCTGAAATGCAAGCACACCTTGGAGTGTCTTCGCGTGCCCTATCCAGAGACCTTTGTAGTTGTAGAGATGCGACGAAATCCATCCTTTTTCTTTGGGTAGGGTTGCGAGCAAATTTTTACACTCCTCACTCGGTTCATCCTCTCGTAAACATTTGGGACGAATTGGTGGAGAATTTTGAGATTCCGACATTGTTTGAAGAGGATGAATGTATACAGAGAAGTCCCTATGATAACATCAAGCTAATTACCAGCTTGTTTAAAGAAAAAAGAAACTACCAGAAATGAATAAACTAGGAGAGATATATGTCCCATTGACAACCTATGGATGTCTTCCAATTAATTTAATAAGGAATCATATCTTTCATTAAGATATTGTTGGTTGTTGAATTGATCATTTGTAATTAAAAAAGTTCTACTCGCAGATATTGTAAGCTGCAATCAGTTATTTTTATTGAAAAACAAGTCTCTTGGATGACAAAAGGCAATAAACTAACAACTCTATTAGTTTAATTACTCCCTCCGTTCACCTTTTAGTTGTTTACTTTTTGTCTTTGCACTCCGTTTAAGAAAAAAAGTGTTACGTATTTTACAGTTTTACCCATAATAATGATAACATTTCAAAAAGTTGAGAAATGATTGAGGAATGAATAGTTAATGAAAAAGATAAAACAGAAAAAAAAACAAAATTGTCTGATTTGTTAAAATGAACAAATAAAAGTAAAATATATTTTTAATATAGTGAAAAAAAATGAAAGAAAGGAGTATTACAATAAAACATGAGTAGTTGGACACATGCATGCTTTACAATATCATAATTATGAGTGTCTATATTGTCTTTCTCATACTTTTGGCTAAGATCAAGCGTAGTATTTATTAATTGATAGTTATAATTATATAAAGAGGAAAATTCCTGTAAAAGTTAAAAATTTGCATTAAGATTCCGTCCAAAGCCATGCAAATTACTTGTTACAACAGTCAAAATATAATCATGATTGAATCGTAGTGTTATAATTCCTCACAAACTTTTTTTTCTTTTTGTTACGTTGTTATTGCTAAACATGGGAAATGGAAGTTTAAATTCATCAAAAAATGGAAATGGAAGATTAAAACTTCAGAGGCCTCGTAAACGGACCCCTAATTAGGCTAGATATATTGGGGAGCATTTACATTTATATCCGTTTTTTGGGTCACTCTTGAACTTATACCCGCTTTGCAAAAAAAAATTGCAAGCGTACCCACTTTTCGCATAACTTCAGACATAATGCCTCAAGTAGCAAAAATTTATGTCTGAAGTTTGAACTTCACAATGTTTTGCCTGAAGTGTTGCAAAACTTCAGATATTTTTGCATGAAGTTTGGCCTGACTTGCAAAGGCAATCACGCAAACTTCAGTTCATAGTGCAAATGCCAAACTCCAGTTCAATAAAACTATAGCATGTTTTGGCTGAAGTTTTTGTTTATAATTGCTGAACTACAACATTCTAGTAGCTGAAGCTTTATTCTGTATTTGCTAAACTTCAGCATGTTTTAGCTGAGTATTTGCTGAACTTCAACATGTTTTGGCTTAAGCTTTATTCTGTTTGTGATGAACTTCAGCATTCTAGGGCTGAATTTTGTTTTGTATTTGCTGAACTTCAGCATTCTTAGAGCTGAAGTTTTAAACAACAATGAATTTAATAAATCATGATTAGCAGCGATTGATGCTGTTCATTTCAAAGATTAAGGAATGAAAATATTTTCGACATGAAAACAAGTTACTACAGATAAATTAGAACCAAAAATCAATGTGCCTGTAAAGCTAAAATATCTAAGATGTTAAATTATTTGTGAATAAGACCAAACTGAACATAATGGGACAAGGAGATATATATGAATCATCAGGCTAGAATGCATAACAATATCTCAAGCTTCAGCATTCAGAAAACGAAGGAGGAGAAGGAGTACAAGTTAAAATTTTTTTAAAAAGTGGGTATAGGTTAAATGGAGGCGACCAAATAGAGCGCCCCGTGCAATTTTTACATATATTGGAGTGAATAAATTGGGCTGCAACTTATGAACCCGTTTATACTGGGCCGTCCTAATACATAACTATAAACCCACATTTGTATATGGGTCGTTTTACCACACTTTAGGCCTTTGAGAAATGTATATTTTTAGCGGTTCCAAAAAATAATATGCGATATATATATATATATATATATATATATATATATATATATATATATATATATATATATATATATATATATTTTAGAGAAAGTTACACGGCTAAGCATCTTTAAAAAAATATTTAAGCAATAATATCATTTATTGTTTATTCCAAAAATGATAGATTTTTTTACAATATTAGCATATCGCATAGATTATGCATATAATTAATGAGGCACAAATCATGGAATCTATTACACTCTCTCATCTTATGTTCTATCCTAAATATATTTCATCGTCTCTCTCCTCTTGTTCTCTTCATTGAACTCAAAATATATTCTGATCATATATATATTAAACAAATTCCATTCTAAAATGTATTCTAATCATATTTTATAGATGATTTAATGCATATGTAAAAGTTGATACTATATATTAAGAGGTAAATTCATTCATTTTTTGATATTTTCATTTTTTTGTATTAATATTTACAATAGCAACTGAAATGAACAAACGTAAGCCACAAGTATAAGAAGATACTTTGTATATTCAGTTTACCTTTTTTGATTTTTTGGGGTGGATGATATATGATATAGATATATTATTTATATACGATGTACTACAATAGTAATATACAAGTAAATGAGAAGTAAAAGGTCTGTTTTTGATGAATCCGATTCTCTCTAGGTGCACATTAGCATAAATTGCGCAGCCCATCATGGGCAAGAGAGCTCGCATACCCACTGCGAATGCTTTAATGGCGACAGAAGCTCATGCCTCACATGCAGCTACTACGCGAGGTAAAAAAAAAACAAAGGCGAACCAGCAATTGAAGTGCAATCTAAACAAATTAGGTCTCAATTACTCAAACCTAGTTTGAGCAGCAGTAAGATGGGAACAAACGTGGCAAGTAAACCTAATCAAATTGGCACACAATCAGCATGGAAATCATCTTCTCTTAACTAATTGGATGTAGAACCAGTCTGTCACGACCCAAAATCTCACCACATGCATCGTGATGGCACTTAGTCACTAAGACTAGGTAAGCCGATTACTATAATAATTTAAGCCATTTTTTAAACAATGATAATTTGCAATAGTGTTTAATACAAGTACCGAAACAAAAACAGAAATAAGCCTACACGAAAATAATCATAACAAACTCCGAAGACTGGTAATACAGCGTCACGAACTCTAGCTGTATACATGGTATGATCTCAAGGATCGAAATACAATACTGTTCAAATGATAACTCACAGTACAATACAAGGAAAAGGACTTCAAGAGATTGCGAGGACCAAACAGCTCTACCATGAATTCTCACGATCAACAAGCTAACTCTGACCGAGTCTGATATCTTCAATACCTGGCTTTGCACAAAAATACGCAGAAGTGTAGTATGAGTACACCACAGTCGGTACCCAGTAAGTATCAAGAGTAACATGTGTGGAGTAGTAACGATGTACAGTCAAGACACTCATTGGACAAAGTAACTTGTGCAGTATAGCAGTATACAACTAATAATAAAAGGCAGGAATCAGTAAATAGCAACAAAATCAACATGCACATATAAGCAGTAAAGCAATAAGAATACTAGGAGAATATCATTAAAACCAAATAAGGAACACAAAGGACAACCAATTAATTAAGTTGTCTAACACCAGTTTCATAACAAAATCACTCTGTGACAGCTCATATTATAGTCACAAGTCCCGGGTCTCAACCCACCATCATATACTCACGGCACCTCGTGCCCACATCTCAAAATCACAACTGCACGAACAACGCACGTGCCTAAATCACAATCTGCCCGGCAATAGTCACAGGCTCACAGTCACAATCCGCCCGGCATAATCACAAGTTAACAAATCATAATCCGCCCGACATGATCACACGCTCACAAATTACAATTCGCCTGGTATGGTAACAGACTCACAAATCACAATCCGCCCGGCATGATCATAGACTCACAATTATAATCCGCCCGGCATATTCACAGGCTCAATAGCAACATAAAACGGGTAATACCAGAATACATGGACATGATCAATAAATGTCAAGTTTCGTACTCATGAGCTAGTATTAGTAGTATGCTATAGTGTATGCTTGTGCAAGTGTACTACTGCAGCCCAAATCAACAAGAAATATCAAGGATATCGAATAGCTCATCGAAACAACAAGACAAGTACACAAAGTGTATAACAAACACAATGGACATCACACCATCACACGAAATTCATCAACACAATGGCTCCAAACCATCACACATCATCCCTGACATTTGCCACTCTTATCTCTCCTATAGCAATCCGTATCACTCCGCCCTGACAATATCATTAGCTATCCTTATCTCTCCTATAGCCACCCGTATCACTCCGTATAATAGCCACCTTCATTACTCCACCCTAAAAATATCATTAGCCACCCTTATCTCTCTTATGGCCACCTGTATTACTCCGTATAATAGCCACCCTTATCACTCCGCTTGGACAATAGCAGAATAGCCACCCATATCACTTCGTACATTGAACAACTGTGAGATGCCACCCTTATGCTCCGTATAACAACAACGGTTTCCACCCTTAAACTCCCCATACAGCAGCCCAATCACACAACAATTCACATGTACTATCATTACAACAACACAACATAATCGAATCGTATCACAAGTTGCCCGTAAGCCACAACATTTCCAACAATTTCCACAATATCAATAATTTTACAACAATAGCCCACGGCTCAACACAACGTGTATGAAATCTCAATAACAACAACATGAACGAAAAAGTAACTCAGCAAGGAATAACACCTCCTTTAAACACAGCTTCAATTCCAATTAATTATTTAAATGATAAACTCGATAATGAAAGTGTCTCCATGACATGGCAACTCAACAATAAAAGATTCCACGTAAAGGTTAAAGTCGTAACAACTCCAAATAGGCATATAAAATAAACTCGACAAATAAAGAATGTGACATGTAACGACAACTTCCAATAAAGCATGTAATAGTGGACATGGCAAATAAGTATATAACATGTGCCAACAATTTCTAATGGCGAAATACATAAATGGCCCCTCCAAGTTGTCCACAACGGTCATTTGAACATCTCAACTGAGACCATTTCCAGCTAGACACTTCA